GATTTTTATGCGTTCTGCTATATGTTGTGTACGGAGGAAACCTGTACGAAAGTGTAAAGCATACGCTGCTGGCCTAAAGTTTCGCAGAATTAGGTGATTATCGTTGATAGAAAATTACATTCGGAGAATTTTGTTTCATTTTGACAAAGATGTACGCAATAATTAACACTAGAAACTAGTTTTGTCCCTATGTTTCTTTAAATGTCCCACTTTGGGTGATGGCCAAATTATATTTTTTAGTTATTCTGTTGTAAAGGAAAATCTTGATTTTTCCCGAGTTAATAACGATACTTGTTACCAGAAGTGCATAAAAGATTCAAGCAATTAATACTACACAGGATGTGGTAAAATTCAACATAAAAAGTTTCAAACCCTCTCAAGGATATGGACGAAATAAGAAGACAGAATCTGAATAATATATCGAAGCAAGGGATGAGACATTTGTACAAAAATGAAAGATCGTAAGGAATTCAGATTGCCTTGGAGAATGATATGGGTGATTTAAAAATATCTAGTTAATATTTATGATACATCATTTGTCTCGTGCAAAGAACAATGTCAAAAAATACACATTTTTAGCACAGATTTAAAAAGAAAACTTTCCACCTAATATATGTATGTATCTTTATATCTTAATGAATCATGAAACTATAGTTATACAGACTGTCCCAGTATCGATGATACTGAGAAGGGGGTAATCCTACACGAAAACAACAAATCGAAAATAAAGAATAAAATTTACTCGTTTGAGGCTTCGTTTCGACTTTGAAAATTCATTGTGTATGCGTGCAATGGAGTACGATTTGGAATTCAGCGCGAGTAAAAACAGTGAGTAGACGTACCAGAGCTATTCTTATTCAATCGCACGCGCATCCAATGAATTTTCAAATTCATTTATCTCAAAAACGAAGTCTCGAGATAATTAAATTGCTATATTTTCATATACTTTGTATCACTTTAAACGTATTTTATTTACTGTTCACAGTCCTTTTTGTAACGTATCTGCAATGTAAAAGCGAATCGACTGTGTGACAAAAAACAAAACTAATAAACTCATATACTGTATGAATATATTATATAAGTTTATCGACTTTGTATTTCCATACCTTTCATTTTCTTTTATATTGTAGATATGTCCTAAAGAATATCGTGTAAAATCGTTCATAGGCTCGAAAAGATTTGTGTTTTTGTTGGATGACGATTGATTTCCGAAATAATTGTTCAAGAAATCTGCAAGTAGCAAGAAACATTAAATTTTGTGTCAACCTTACCTCATGCCTATCAAGTAAATATCAAGTTTGGTTTTGCTTTCTTCCAATAATACGTACATAAATTATTGCAGCCAGATCTTCGATAAACGACTATTGCAAGAATTCACTTGAATTTTATATTTTTGATAAACATATTTCTTCTGTAACAAACACTAAGCACAATAGATTTTAGTTTTATGTACTCTTCTACGGCTTTTGCTAAATACATGACCTTATACAGATTTCCTGAAGAATTTTCTGAATAATTACTTCAGAAATAGAAAGTCGACCGAAGAACAGGGGAATAAAACACATTAATTCTGCTCGCTATGAATTCTAATGTCTACGCGTGTTTATTACAACCTTCCCTTCATATTTCGATTAAATAACTATTATTTCTGTTTAATCACATTCGATCACACTATTTGTTATTGTTAGAAAGATGACAACAACACCATTATACATAGATAATTAGTACACGGTAAAAACACACACACACATACACACGTTTACAGTGGTCACAGAATACGGATACCATTATCAGAGTAAATCGACAAATTGTATTTTTCTACATTGTGTTTAAATGAGATTCATTCTTTTGCCCAACAATCCCAACAATTATATTTATATTTACTTCGATTTTAAAAGGGTCTGTACCCATCAAATAATAATAATAACTACAGTAATAATTGTAGTAGTGGTAACAGCAGTAGTGATAAATAATAATAATAATAATAATAATTCTAACACGTTAACCACCATAATTTGGTTGAAAGCCCGACTGCAAGAGCCCACTCGGCATTTGTAGTAATTTCAATTAGCGTAGTACATGCCTTTAACTACGTGCAAATAAAATGTATCGAATAAGCCAACAGTATATTCTCAATAATATTTGACACAAAATGTAACACTGGTCTGTAGTTTATATTTGTTTACGCGGGCATAAGATAACAAATTATCGTTGTTGCACATATCGATGTGTCGCGAGAATCGACTCATCATACATATTTTATGCTCGATAGTTAAGCTGTTGCAAAAAGAATGTTGATATTTTTGCAAACTTGTCTGTTGATCCGTGCATGAAGTGTGTATTCACTATGGATCGTCTATTCGTTTAATAAAAAATAGAGCATAGCTCAACTTTCTTCTGGATGAAAGCAAGATAGGGTTAATCGGGATTAAGAGGTGTATGTTTAAGGGGGCAATCTCTTGTGTACGTTAGAAAATTTAACCATCTTTATTAATTTTTTTCAACTAAATATTACATCTAAAGCTACAATTTATTTTCGCAATTTACTTAACTATCCTTTGGGAATATAAAATAAATTTTTCAATCATTTTTATCGACTTTTCATGTTTTTATTACGCCCACAGTAAACATGTGTTTAAACACTGGCGTAGGTGATTGCAGCTCTGCAGTTGACTAAATAAAAAAAAATGAAAAAGATTTTTATTCGGTAGGATTCCTGTTATCGCTTGTAGTAAAATAATTCATTTACCTTGAAAATTGGCAAAATGGCGAAAGCGTACATTAAAAATTGCAAAATTTTGTCATTTTTCCGCAACTTTTTAATCAAATTATATGATATGCTCATTATAAAAATATAATTTCGGTACGGACGAGAGCTACTAGTATGTGGAATAATTTTGAAGCAATCGAACATATAGTTTTTGAGATTTTATGTGCGCCAATTAAGAAAGTAACATTTCGAGAGAAACGCATTTAAAGTCTGCAAGATCATACTAATCTTCATACAGAATTCCTGCCAGAGTGTTGGCACCCAGATGGCACAAACGCTAGACTTTCGACTTTTAAAAACAACAGATGATTTAACAATACATTCTTAAATATACAGGGTGTTCCGTATTTTTCCGTACACACTTCAGCAGTGAGTTCTACAAGTAAAACTAAGACCAAAATGTTATATAACAAAAAATCCATAAATGCTTTGTTAAGAACTTATAACAAAGATATGATAAAGTCGTGTAACAAATTGGCTTAATAGACATTCTCCCCAACAATGGATTGGTCGAGGGGTGCCAATTTCTTGGCCCCTAGACCATCTGACCTTACCCCTTTAAATTTTTACTTATGGAGTACTCTGAAAGAGAAAGTTTACAATACAGAAATACGTACAAGAGATGAATTAATTGCAAAAATCAATATCGCGTGTGAAGAATTTCGACAAAATTGCAACCAACTGAAGTCAACAATAAATTCAATAGTACGTGGATGCCAAAAGTGTCTCAACAAAGGGGGGCGTCACTTTGAAATGGAAACATAGGTATAGTCAACAGCGTTTACATTACATTTAATATTTCTGCCATAACTTCTTAACAAAGCTGTTGAGAATAAGCATTGCATGCATATATTTTTAATGAAAATTTGTATCCATTGGTGCAGTCCTCTTCCTTGCAAAGGTCAGTACTACCTGAGGAGGACACTCGTTTATTGCACCCCCTGAGCATTTCGTTTCTTTTTCCGAGCCTCAAGCACAGTTAGCAGAAAACCGTCAAGCTGAGAACAGCATTTTCGTTTTGCAAAACTACAATAATTAAATACATACTTAGGTCGAAATCTGGCGTATTTATTTAGCAAATAAATATTCATCAAAAGCATTTATGAATTTATTGTTATATGTAAAACACTTTTGTTGGGAATTCCAATAATTTATATTATAGGGCACATCATTTAATTCAATATTACTTGATTTGGTCATCTGGCAATGTATTTTATTTTTTCCTAAAGCCATACCTAATTAGTTTCACCGTACTCACGGGTCCATTTACCTGCCCCTTGGGACCGCGGACGCCTACGAGGGATGGGCAAACTTTTGATTTGTCACTAGAATCTCCTCCTATTTTTGAAATAAGTATATAATCACGGAATATTGAACAGTTAGTCAGAACCTTTACAAGTGACACCCAGAACAGAACCAAGTTACAATCAGAACAGTTGGATAGAACAGAAGTCAGATCCATAATAACCAAGAGTGTAACAGAATATATTTTGTACGAATTAGATGTCAGAAATCTACGAACCATTTATATATGTATAATTGTTAACACGTGTATATATATTTGTTAATAAATTTAAAGTGTTTGTAAATAGTTATTGGGCTTATCTATTTACTAAATAACACGACTCCACGAATCTTGTGGGAGCCAACAACTTTAGTCTTATTTTTACTTGTAGAACACACTGCTGAAGCGTGTACGGAAAAATGCGGAACACCCTGTATATGTATACTTTCAAAAAATGAAATAAAAAAAAAATTGATTTTTTGGGGGTCTTGCACGAGACTGCGCCCTTACCTCTTTGGAACACGCTGGGATTAAAAGTGTCCCACCTTTTTGATGCACCGTAATGCATGGTGGGACATTTTTAGTCCCACCTCGAAATATTGCAATAGCTGCATGTGCATAGGTTTACATTTCGTCTTATTTACGTAAAGCAGTTGGTAATAGCTTCAACAAATATTACAAATGTATTCACTTGTGTTGGCAACATTCAAAATGCTAATACAGGTTCATCAATTGTTGCAAGCGTAAGATTTATTGCGACAACTATTACTATTTTTTTGTATGTTTTTACATTATGTGATACCTATCTTAATAAAAATATACCAATTTTGTTTAATTTAAAACGCAATAAAATGTCTATGTAACATATTTTATCATCTGAAATCCTGTGCCGCAAAGAGTTCAATGTCACGCGACGACTAACCGCGAATCTCTTTTTGATTGCAGTTGTTCTCTTGGATACGACACAGGAGGAGAAGCTCGAGTGGACAAAGTATCCGTTCGGCCCGGCAATGGTCACCCCAGGGGTAAGTTTCGCGATCGATTCGACGCGATACCTTTTACGCGTAGTCGAAATCGCGCGTTGTACGCCAGCGAGCAACGAGGTAACCCCGGCGCTCGTGTAGGGAATTCAAGGTGGTCTCCGGCGTGTGAAGTCGAGGAAGCCGGCCGGGGCGCGAGAGACGTCGAAAAAATTCCAAAAGTCGTGGCGCGACACCTTTTCGGCGTACTGGAAAAATCGTTGGAGTCGAGCACGCGGTGCCCGAAGTGGACAGAATGGACACGGTGGAGCAGGAACAGCGGGTTCCGGGGGTACCAGAAGCACTTTATGATCTCGGTGCGCGCGGCATACGTGGGCTCCCGCTGGCCGGTGTGCTCTCTCGGCGCCATGTTTGTTTTTCAGTTGTTAAGCGCGCAGCGGGCCGCCAGACAGGTTTAAATCAGCCACTGCCTCCTCCTCCTCCTTCTCTCGCTCACGCTTCGTCTCGCGTTCTCTCTCGATTGCGCGCGCCTCCTAACTCTTTCTCTCGTTTCGTCTCTCCGTCTCCCTCGCACTTCCATTCCCCCTCCTTCACCCCGCCCGGCCTGGGATCCTCGTAGCTCTTTCTCGCTCCCGATCACTCCGGTCTCTCCGCTCGTCTCGCGCGGGACGTGCACCGACGGACCAAGAGTCAGTCCGCTGGGTAACAAATTGCTTTTTGTTTGAACGGACAAATTAGAGAGACGGCCGCCGGATAGGGAGGAGAGGAGCGAACGGAGCGAGAGAGAGGATGCGTTTATTTAAACGTCGTAGGACGTATAGTTTCCTGCGTGCATGTGTAATACGGCCCCGCGCCGCGTACCACCGTGCGCCGCTGAAAATTTCACTACGACCCGCCGCGACTCCTCCCGCGACCCTACGTGGGTGTCGAACGTTGCTTCGCGCGCGGTACCGTTCCTGGCTTCCACCGATCGCCACGACCACCTTTTCAACCGATCCTCGCCCGAAGTGGCTCCCGCGGAACACGTGCTGGAAATTTTCCTATTGCCGCCGCGTCGATCGATACCCGATAACGACTAAATTGAGAGCCCAACGCGCGAACCCTGGATAATTAATCGGTGATCGTTCCTCGATACAGAGGCACGAACGAGCCTCGGTGGTCGGTCAACCTCGTTATTTCGCGTCCAATTTAAAAAAAGAAAGAACCGGGGCGGTGGAAAAAAGTAGCTGAAATTGGAACGCCGACTGAAAGGATATGATCGGTCTCGCGGTTCGAGTCTACTTTTTCCCATTGGCTTCCAGCGTTGATCGTTAGTGCCGTGCCGCTAATCGAGCAGCGTAACGCACCGTTTGAAAAGGTTCTTTGAGCCTGCTGTTGATTTTTCTAGCTGCTAAACGTCCTACGCTTCCCTTCGAAGCGAAGGGACTACGCGGCACGGTCCCGTGCACGGAAGCTCGATTTTTTTTCCCCTGGAACGAGCCGAGGAAACCGGCCCCGGTGCTCTCATCCTCGAGTACTCGAGTTCACTTCGCACCTCTTCTGTCTATATCTACTTTACGCCGCATAGAGAAACGGAAGTGGAACGTCCAAATATGTGCTTGTGGTTTTCCTCGCGCACGTGTTGTCTGAAGGACCTCCGCACAGTTTGCGCCTCGCGAAGGGAACTGACCCGATGTTTTTTTCGTTCCTACGTGTTTCTAGCCGACTTTACAACGCGATGTACGCGCAATGATTCTCCCAAACGGACCCGATCCGATCGTTTCTAACGTTTGCGAGGCCGTTCGAGCGTTCTTGACACGATTGCTGTTTCAGGTGATCCTATTTCGATTCCACCTATCATTTCTAATTATCTTTTCTATACGCGGAGCGAACTGCACGCCTCGTACGGTCTTTAACTCGTTGACCACCGCGTCATCCATATTTGGTGAACGGTTAAACTTCCGCGGAAGCTTTATTTATGTACACTCGACCCTCCTATAACACGATAGACTCGTTCTGCGTTGTATCGAAACCTAGAGCTAATAGAAATCAGAGAAATCCATTCCGTGTTATATCGAAATATTTTCGTAGTGCTCTATTATACAGGGTGTTCGGCCACCTCTGAGAAAAATTTGAATGGGAGATTCTAGAGGCCAAAATAAAACGACAATCAAGAATATCAATTTATTGATTGACGCTTCGTTAAAAAGTTATTAAAAAATTAAATTCAAAAATTTCAAATCGTTCTAAAAAAATTATGATTGGTTGCAGGGATCAATTATAATCATTTTTGGTCAATAGACCTACACCCGAAATCCTTCCCACTTTCTAGAAAAAAATTTTTAACGAAGCCTCCATCAACAAATTGGTATTCTTGATTTTCGATTTATTTTAGCCCCTAGAATCTCCCATTAAAATTTTTCCCAGGGGTGGCCGAACGTCCTGTATATTAAAAGAAATTTCAAAACAATAAAAATCCAAAAAATTTATTTAATATAGTTTTAATGATTTCATAGAACAAAAAGAAACATTCAACATATTTATAAAACGATAAAGTACAAATTTTAGAAATACTAGGGACTTGTCAAACACTTTAATCATCGTTACTGCTTTTTGAGATCACTATTCGTCTGAACCATTTTCTTTTAGTGAGTTGAACGTATCTTTAATTTGTAATTCTGTCAAAAATCGCTTGCTAATAGCAGCAAGACAGTTGCTTTTTAAATTTTCCCATCACTGAAAGATCTTTTTCAAAAAACTAAAATTCTAATTATTTTCCCAAGTCTAAACTCTTTTACATATCCTTTACGTCTAAATTTAGAACGGATTTGTTGTTAATGTTTTCATTTGTCACTGTATTAAAAAAAATCGTGTTGTAAGAGGACCGTTGCAATTCTCACTCCGTATTATATCGAAACCGTGCTTCCAGAGTAAGTACCGTGTTATAGGAAAGTTAACTGTACTTAGCAGGGGTTTCCAAATAATTTGCAAGAGTATTTTATAATAAAATATTCAATACTAACTATTTTTAATAAGCCCATTTCACACATGTTCTATTTAGCAAATACTTAATAGTAGCTAATCATTTTTAACAAGACCATTTCATTCGTGCAATTAGCTAGGTTTTCCGAATAATTTGCACGATTATTTGAAAATTAAACAATTACATTAAAGGACTTACAACTAATTTATACATTAAAAAATATGTGTCAGTCTACTTAAAGGAAATTAAAATGTTCTCATATATATCAATATACACCGTCATGTTACAATATCGTCACTAATGACACAAGTCGATGTGACGTAAAAAATAAGTTAACAAAAAATAAGAATATTACAATAATCTTTTGTTGCAAATTTGAAAACGATGTCAGCAAAGACTCATTTCTGGGCAGAATAGAGCAAAAGGTTCAATTTTTTTTGCCTTTTTTCTAAATTGTTTCACTTCTTACTTTGTTTATAGTAGACAAATTACGAAAAAACATCAGTCTGAACGAAACTACGCTTTATAATGTTCGATGTCTACAGCGACTATGAACGTTTGCCCAATAAGGAACACGCGAAGTAACAAAAGAATTCAATAATTTATAGCTGACCATTTAAATTGAAACAATACAAATGCTAATAACAAATTGTTATCGACAGCTTATTTGCTAGCACTATAATACGCGGCGAATTGAGGATTTAAAAACATATTCGAGTTGTGCTAAACGATCGACGTGTTAACTATTTGATTTCCTTGAAAGCTATTTATTCTCTTTGATGTTACGCGTATTTGTTTGTAATATGACGATATAATGACTGATGTTATACCTGAAAACTTAGCTGTAAGATATTGAGTATCGAAATATAATTACGCATCCATGTAATTATTTATTTCGGGCAAAAGTAAATGTCTTATAATTCTTTTGGTTTGCTTGACATTTCATAAGTATTTTAAATACGTAATTAGTTCGAAAGCAAACCATCCTAAAAATAGGTAATAATAAAACACTTATAACACTCGAAATTTTAAGTCTCTTCGTTGCAATTGACCCGCAACACGTGAATGAAATAATTATTGTCCCCTAGTTCCCTACGATGATGCATTTGATTCTGTTTTCATTTATTTCTTTACGGGTTTGTACACCGTTTGATATAATACAGTTGCATAATATGTGTAAAAGTCTGGTTAATTACGTATGTTATAAGATGCAGTGCGTACAATACTAGTGACACGCTTTTTAAAGGAATACAAAGAACCGCTAAAGAAGTCCAAACGTTGGCTAAACTGGTTAGCTTGGACAAGGATACTGTTGAGGTTTTTACTGCACAGTGTATTATTTTAATTATATACGATTTATTTGTAACAAATAATAAGAAGAACAATTAGCGGTACGACACGTGCTACATTACATTACAGACTGATCTAAAATCAATAAATGATCCAACAGGTGGCGATTGATTACCTACTCTACTTTATCGACGCAAGTGAGATTTATGATTAAGTTTTGCCTTGTTACTCCTGGCAGATACGATTGATACAATTACTGTATGTATAATGTCGTTTAAATGTTGGAATATGAAATAATTCGTTTTATCGATGTTACGAGAAGATCGAAAACGTTCACTTCCGACAAGTGGCTCGAAAGGTATCGTTGGCCATTGATTGTTGTTCGAAAACAGAAAGTAATCGATCCGGTCGGGCAGCGGTATCGGCGATAAAGAGGCAAGCCTGGCTACCCCTGAAATTCTTCGAGGTCTTAGCTCATCGCGATCAGGCCGCGTGACTGGAACCGAACGTCATCGCGATTGGAAGCTGGAAGTCGAAGCGGACCGTGGCGTGGCGCGTAAATAATCGAGGATCGTTCCCTCGAAGGATTTCCAACCCGTATTGGTTTCGATATTCACAAACTCGCCTACAAACGTGCTTAATCGCGAAACGTGTTATTATTCACAATTACCGGCCACTTTGCAATGTTCGCGATTACGCTCGAAACGACAACACGCGATGATTCTGGGAACAGCTCTCCCCTCGGATTCCAGGGATCCTTGTTTCATCGGTATCGATCGAACCCGAGAAGCCC